AAATTAATGAACTTTAGTCTGTGAGGTCAAAGGATAAATGTCCCAGGTCAGAAAATGCCCCCAATTCAGTGACAGCCACACGGATCACTTGTCTTCACACTCCTGGGCCTGATTTTCACTGGGCTTGCAGTGAAAATGCTCTGTGAAATGGATTCTAGAAGTTGTGGGTGGGGAGATGACCAACCTGGGGATATGTGTGTGTGTGTGTGTGTTTCCTTTAAATTATGCATTTGTTACAAAAGAACAGGCGTCCCTGTGTGGTGCAAATGGTTAACATGCTGCTAACCAAAAGGTTGGAGGTTCGAGTCCACCCAGAAGTGCCTTGGAAGAAAGGCCTGGTGATCTATTTCTGCAAACTTGGCCACTGAAAACCCTGTGGAGCACAGTTCTCTCCTGATGCATATGGGATGGGTCACCATGAGTCGGAGTCAACTTGATGTCAACAGACACAGGCACAAAGAAAATAAAGCAGCAACCTTGTCCTTGTCAACCGGGGAAGGTGCATCTGCCCAGGTAATGCACCTGCCCCTGGACCACCTCCCCCTGACCTCAGTGCCAGCTATCTTCACATGACTAGCCTTTCTGGAACAACCTCCCTCCTCCCCACGACCCCTTGCCCTGGAGGAAGGCCTGGTAGAATGGGGCCACCAGTCTGCTGACAGGAGCAGTAAGGAGCCACTGTCGGGGTGAGGTCCCTGGGAAGACATCTTGGGAAGCCAGGGGAAGCTACTAAGATAAAAGGAAAAGAGTTGAGCCGTCTCTGAATCCTCAACCAGTAGGAACCATGGCAAATGTATGCAGGCATCCTAATGGGACAGCTCTGAAATGCCTAACTGTGGGGAGGCTTCCTTAGTGGAGATGCCTCTGGAAGTGGGGGGAGGGGAAGAGCCATGAGGCGGGGGGGTTCCCCCAGGTGACTGGCCAGTCCACTGCTTTGTTGTAATTGGGTGCCACTGTGATGATTCCAACCCACAGCAACCTTATAGGAGAGTAAAACTGTGCCATAAGTTTTTTAAGACTGTAATCTTTAGAGAGCAGATGGCCAGTTCTTTCTCCCTCAGAGAGGCTGGTAGGTTTAAACTGCCAGTCTTTGGGTTAGCAGTAATGACTGCACCACCAGAGCGCCTCTTCTTAGGGGCAGGCTTTTCCCTTCTCTGGCTCGAGGGAGGGCAATGGGGGCCAGGGCCAAGTTGGGCCTGTCTCATCACTCACCAATGCCATCTCTAGCCCCCTTATGTGTGGCCCCTGGAAAAGCAGCACGGTGACACGGGAGCTCAAGGAGAAGTCAAAGCAAGCTGCTGTCATCAGAATGGCTGCACCGCAGTGTCAGATGGCCTGACTCCCCGAGAACTCCCAGGCTTTGCTTTGTCCCAGCCTGAAACACTGGCCTGCCCTGTGAGGAACGAGGTGTGGGAGGTGGAGGTGTAGAGGGTGGAGGTGGGGGCAGGGACACACACACACTGCAGTGTCTGGGGAGGGCACCGGTTTCAAAGCGACTTCAGCCTGACCTGACTCCACAAACAGCTACTCCTGGAGGAAGGTCCTGACTTGGTTCATCTGTGTCTGCTTGGCAAGAGGTACAGCTGCCCAGGGAGCAGTGGTGGGGTCAGAGCTACCTCCAAGATTCTGAGAGCCTGGCACCAAGAAGACAAGTCCAGCAGACCTGAGCCAAGCTTGCCTGTCATGCCCTCTGCCCCAGTGGACTACACAGGACCCAGGTTTCACCCTCACTCCTGGTGCCGTAACAAGCCACCCACAGGCGGTGCAGCAAGCCCAGAAGAGGTTGAAGCCACAGCCAGGGAAGCGGAACAAATCATGGGTTGGGGGCGGGAGGGGTGAAGTCTTTCCTCCCTATTCAGAGGACACTTCCTCAGAAGGTGAAGCAAACCTTCCTGGGTCAGAGGGCTTCTGTAACCCTTTGACCTCAACCTGATGGGCACCTGCCTTCCTCAGGGAGGAGTGAGGAGAGAAAATGCTGGGCTATCACTGTCTGTCCTCCTCCTGCCCCTCACCTCCCCTGACTCCAAGGTAGCACTGGGAGAGGAAGGCCTCATGGGAAGGGTCTCTCCATCCTTCTCTCTAAAACGGTCCTTCCAAACAGGCCCTGACCCCACTCCACCCAAACTACTCTTATCAGCGCCACCAGTGAGTTCACTTTGCCATGTTGGATGGATAATTCTCAGCCGTCAGCTGACAACACTTTGTTCTTCTCAAAATGCTTTCTTCATTGACTCCCAAGGTATCTCTCTCCTGGGTCCTCTCCAGCCACATGGTCACTCCCTGTCTACCTCCGGTTTGCCAGCCCCAGGGCTCAACCTCAGACCTCTCCCTTGCCCCCCCCCCCCACTTACTCCCTTGGGAATCCTATCCAGGGTCATGGCTTTAAGCACCATCCCCACATGGACCGTCCCCCACTTATAACTCCAGGCTAGACCTCTGTCCTAGACTCCATGCAAATATGGCCATCAGCAACGCTGACTTAACTTCCACACTGGAAGCTGCTGCTTGTAGGGCTTCTCCATCCTGTCACCTGCTTAGCCAAATACCCTGGAATCACCTTGACCTGAATCTCCCCTCCCTCATCTCACATCCAACCCACTCATGTGCACCTTCCAAACAGCCCTGGGACCTGACCACCTCTGCCACCTCCACACTTCCACCTTGGCCCCAGCCCCCACCCCCTCAGTCCTGAACAGCTGTCACAGCCTCCCTCTGGCCCTCCAGTGGCCACTCTTAGCCCTGTAGCCCATTTTCTATAGAGCAGACAAGTGACCCTTCCAAAACACATGACGTCCCTCTGGAGGAACTAGTCAGGCTGGCAGCTCTGACAGCCACCATTCCATCCTGCACCCCACAGTGCAGTGGGGAGGACTCAGCATCATCTTCCTGTGCTTCTACCCCACTGACCACATCTGTTTTCACATCTGGACCTTCTGAAGCCAACTGACCATAGGGAGAGGCCCATTGTGTCTGACCAAATCTAGGGCAGGAGAGAAGCCAAAGGGCCCTAGCATAGCATAACATCTCAATTCCAGTGTTGGGGAGAGGTCCTTGCCTTGTCTAAAAGTGCCCCAAGGTGAGTGCTCCAGTCACTAGGCTTGTCTAAGATTCCATTCTGGCTCCAGCTCGAAGGATCACTTCCCAACAACATATTCTCACTCTCTCCCTCCCTTTAAAATTTTCCAAACAAGGAAAATTAGGAAAGCATTGAGTTCCCCTCCCCGTCTGATACAGAGGTAAGGTGGCCGTCCCTCTATTCACCAGGCCTCTTCCTGGGCCTCTGGATGCCCCGCCAGAACCGCTCTGCTCTGCCTTGTTCTGATAGCACGGGTGGAGCCCCCAGCCCCTCCAGCAGCCCCGGGGGTCTGTGTTCCACATGCTGTGTTGAAGCCATGCAGCCTCACAGAGCTGATGACAGAGCATCTGTAGTCTGTTCTGGAGGGATGTGGTCAGATCACGCTATTGGAGACCAAGAGTCTTGGTGGCCTGCCAATGACACCACAGGCCCAGCAAGTCTGTCTGCACAGAACGGAAGTACAAGCTCCCTGGGTCCAGTACCACCCCTCTGCCCAGAGGACAGAGGCGAGCAGGAGCTCAGGGCTTCCCTATGTCTCAGGTTCTGGGCAGGATGTGCCCAGGGCTCCTGACCCCTGCCCACCTGGCTCGGGGCTTACTACCCTCCTTCATTTCCCCTGGGGAGGCAGACTCACAGAACTTGCTCCACTGGTTCCTAATCCAGGTGTGAGGTGGAGGTCACCTGCTAGATGCACACCTGGCTGTGGCTGCCAGGAGTCCCGTGACCTGAGAGTGCTGGGCTGCCCAGGTCAGAGAGAGCAGCTCTGCAAGCTGCAGTGTGGACTGCCAGCTCATGCCATCGCCCAGCACAAAGCCAGGGCAGGGCTGCAGGGTTTCCAAAGAAAAACAAAAGAAAGACTTGGCACCTGCATGACTGCACTGGAGGTTTTCTCCTGAAGTATGGTTTGAAGATTGAAGGGGGAGGGAGAAGGGGTTGGGGGGCGGGGAGAAGAAAGAAGAGGGAAAGTGGGAGGGGGAAGGGGGGAGGAAAAGAAGGAGGGATGGTAAAACAGAGGGTTTGGAGACACCAAGACAGAGTGAGTGTCTTGGTAGGGGAAGGAGCCTCACCCCGTTATCTGGTCTTCAGGAGCAGTGAGAACTTGGGTACCAGGTCACAACCAAGAGGCCCACCCCAGAGTGGACTGAGTTTTCTGGTCTACCCTTTCTACCCTGGAAAGGGGCCATGCCAGCACAGAGCAGAGGGGGCCCAGCTCAGGCTCCAGGAGAGAGACAGAGGCCAAGTAGGGGACAGTTCTGGACATGTGGTTGTCCTATCACCTCGGGCATTCAGCCAGGCAGCCACAGAGCCTCCATCTCCCAAAGCAGAGCTGTGCTGTACACATGGGGTATTTGCATACAGGCACTGAGAAAGGCTACACCCTTTTCCAAAAGACACTTGGAAATTGCTGCCGAGAGATGCTGCCTGCTTCTAACACACATGCTCAGCCTCAATCTGAGAGGAGTGCGCCCAGGAACCCCCAGCACCAGGACAAAGTCCCTGAACTGGCAATGACCGAGAAAGGCCACCAGCTTTCCTTTATGTGAAAGAGAGAAGCCAGGAGTCCTCACGGTCTTGGACCCCCACGCCCACAATAATACACTGGTTACTATGCTAGAGTTTGGTCAACTGCAGATCAAATCTGGAGGCAGGTCAAGCAGAAATCAACAGGTTCTATCAAAGACCCTTCATTCATTTGTTCATTCATTCATTCATTCACTCAGAAGCACTGCCAGGTAATCAGCAGATGCTGGTTTGAATTCTTGATTGAACCTGGAGCAGGTTAAGTGTTGTCTTAAGGTCTGAAAACATGGGGCTCTCTAGTTAGACATTCCCATTCCAGTGACTGGTGTGAACTGGGGCCTGGACCAGGCCAAGACCACAAGGACACACAAAGGTACCCCTAGGCCACGCAGGGGACACTTACGATCAAGCCCGTTCAAGTAGCGCATGCGGATCTCACAGTGGCCCCAGACAGCACTCACTACAGGATACAGTTTTTTGCCCTTGAGTCCCCGAAAAGCCACTCCCATGTACTGTCCATCCACAATGAAGCTCAGGGTCCCATCGTCCATGTCTAGGGCCACCAGGAAGGAGTCAGGGACAATGAAGGTCTCGTCAGGCTCCAGGAAGGCAGGGTACGTTTTGCTTGGCTGGTTCTTGCCGTCATGGTAGAGCCGGTTCCGTCCCAAGTCCCAGCCCCAGGACTCGTGGTTGTTCCCCACAAGCGTCGTGTACCCGACAGAATGCAGAGGGGCATCCGCCGTGGCCACCCCCACCACAGCATGGGTGCCTCGCTGTCGCATGGCCCATGTGATCTGCCACACATGCAGCCCCCGCGTGTACCCAATCTTGCCCCGGATAGCATCTGTGCTCTGGGCCACTGGGTGGCGGTGGAAGATGAGCTTGTCATCCTCTTTGACAAAGACATTGAGCGAACGGTCATCATTGTTCCATGAGTGCAGGAGCTGCACATCGTAGGACACCGGGGGCATGTCCAGCAGTAGGTCCAGGCGGGTGGGCTTACAGTAGTCCAGGCCTTGCAGCTCTTGCTTCAATGGCCGGTACGTGGGGTCCCGCATGTCCACCGTCTTGATCCCCCCGGTGACCTTCTGACCCATGCTTGCCTCCGGTTTCACCTTCCCCCAGGAGCCCTAGGCCAACTCATCAATCCCAAGGTCTCACGTCCAGCTTTCCGATCAGGCTGTGGCTGGATTCCTTGGGGAGGCTGGTAGGAGACTCCTCAATTTGTGCAGCATCCAGGGTTGCCTAATAGATGGGAAGAAAAACAGGAGACAGGTGAGCAGGTGTGCAGGAGGAAGGGGCAAAAGTGACAGCACGAGGGTTATCGAGACAGCACATCTCAGTCGCTGGGTGCTAGGCTCCCTACTGTATCTGATCCAGTGTCAGGGGGAGTCTTAGCACAGGTTGAAATCTCCATAACTCTGCTGTCATAAAGGGAAGGGGCCTCCTGCCAGTGTCTGTGTGGAGATGGGGAACCTGGGGCTGGGTACTGCCCTCCACTGTGGTGGGTACGCAGTCTGAGACCCACGTAGATGCTTGCCAGGTACGAAATTGCGGCCAGGGCCTTTGGTTTCAGGACAGAGCCTGGGTTGGCATCCAGCAGTGAGCCTCCAGGCAACAGCATCATCCTTAGTTAAAACAAGAGCCTTGCTGGCTACCCCGGTTGCTAAGTTGACTGTGATGCATGGTGACTCCATGACTGTCAGAGTAGAACTGTGCTCCACAGGGTTTTCAATGGCTGGTTTTTAGGAAATAGGTCACCAGACCTTTCTTCCAAGGTGCCTTTAGGTGGACTCAAACCTCCAACCTTTCAGTTAACTGTTGCATCACCCAAGCACTCCAGTGAAGCCCCCAACCAGCTGTTTAAGATGCCAAACTGCAGTTCCTCTCTCTTTTCCAACAGCACTGCCTCCCCTCCCCACACTCCCCGTTCACTCTAGGGAAGGAAAACCTGGTGAAGGTGGGAAGCTCGGCTTGGGGGTCTGCATGGCCACTCAGTGGGGAGGGCTAGGAGTCTCCCAGCTCAGCGGTCCCTGCGGCTGCAGCAGCCCCTGAGCAGCAACCTGTCCTGCCTGAACTGAGGCCACAGAGATGTCCCTCTGCAGACCCCTGTGCTGGCCCGGCCAGGTGAGCACCAGAAACTCTCGCCCCTACCCTCAGGGAGCTTTGTGAAAACAGTCAGATGACCCCCTCTTTTTCCTGCCTGCACCTTTCACCTTTGCAGTGACCTGGACTCTGGAATGTCTCCCTCCACTCTGGCTCCCCCACCCCCTGGGTCCCTTGAAGGAGGAGGGGAGGCAGGTTGGAGGAGAGACCTCACTGCATCTGTTTCCTGTCCTCTCCCCTCATAGCACCCCAGACAGTTCCATCCAAGGAGGAGGCCATTTTAAAAAAAAACTACAGCTGTCGGGTCGATTCCGACTCACAGCGACCCCACAGGGAAGAGTAGAACTGCCCCATAGGGTTTCCCAGACTGTGGTTTTCACAGAAGGCCTCCTGGTGCCATAACGGCTATGCACTCAGCTACTAATTGAAAACCTGACAGCTCAAAACCACTAGCCACTCTGTGAGAGAAAGATGAAGCAGTCTGCTTTCATAAAGATTTATAGCCTTGGAAACCCTATGGGGAAGTTCTACTCTGTCTTATAGGGTCTCTATGAGTCAGAATTGACTTTATGGCAATGAGTTTGGGTTTAATCTTTATGTAAGCAGACTGCCACAGAGTAGCTGTTGGGTTTGAACTGCTGACCTTTTGTGGTTAGCAGCTGAGCACTTAACTACGTGCCACCAGGGCTCCTTCAAGGAGGAGGAGGAGGGTGAAAACTGGAGACTGACAGGATGTGGGCCACCCTGCTATTCTGTTCTCTGCTCCCAGCCTTGGGTAATGGGGGGAAATGATGTTTTGGCTTCCTGGGCCTCATTCAAAGGAGTTCTGGTGGTGCAGTGACGAAGGCATTTGACTGCTAACCAGTATAGGTTGGTAGTTCAAACCCACCAGCCACTTTGAGGAAGGAAGATGGGGCAATCTACTTTCGTAAAGATTTACAGCCTCGGAAACCCAATGGGGGTCGTTATGAGTTGGAATTGACTCGATGGCAGTGGGTTTGGTTTTTTTTTTTCTTGGGGGGGGGCACATTCAAGAGAAAAGCTGCCTCCTGCCATCAAACACCTCCTTGGTCCTGGGATGGGACTCTTGGATGCCTGGTTTGGGGGACAGGATCCAAGGACCAACAAGAAAAGGGACAAGGCAGGCTCCTGGTGAAGGAAGTGCAACCAAACAAGAATATAGAGGGTACAACCTGGCCATTGGTGCTGGGAAAGTATCACCTGAGTCACCCGCTGCAGGAAGCCCTCAGGTGTCCAGTGACTGTGATGAGAGAATACAGAGGGACCTGGGTGAGAGGAGGGGTCTGCAGGCTTATCACTGCAGTTGGCCTACTGCCTCTCATCCTTCATGGTAATCAGTGTCCCGCAGCAGCAAGGACAGAGTGGCTGCTGGTAGGTGCAGGGGACAGGACCAGACACACTGCCATCAGCTGTCTGATGCTGGGAACCTGGGAACTTTGAAGCACAGGCCTCCCACTTGATGCCTGGGGCCAGTAGGGCCAGGAAAGAGGAGCAGATTTGGCAGTCAGGCTGGAAGCCTCGCTGGGATCTTCAGCCAACCTGGAGCTTCCTCACTCTGAGCTGGGAAAAGCAACACCCTTGGGGTAGGCAGGCCCCCCAGCACATTCAGGGTAGGAACATTTGGGTGCTCAGACTCCCTTCTCTCTGTGGGCAGGGATGGGACAGAGGGGCCCTCACTCCCTGAGACCAGAGAGGACAGTTGTGTCAAAGGTGTAGGGGCTGCCTGGTTCTGGGACAAGCTCAATAACTACAGTGACATCACTGTGATGCAGTGATCAGAGGACAGTATAGCTTCAAAGAGGGGCACCCCCTGTCATCCAGAGCAGTTCCAGCAGTGATTCTATCACATTTAGTTATTAAGCAAGCCCACTAATACACACCTGCTGCTAAGTGTCTGCCTTAATTGGGCCCCGTGTCGGGACTGTCAGAGAGGAAGGCCCCCATCTGGGCCCGGCACATGGCTTTGAGCAGCAGGAGTGCCTGGGAGGAAAGGTTCAGGAGGAAGGGGGCTGAGGAGAGGTGGCAGAAATTCTCCCTGGGTGTGAAGGGCAGGAAGAGGTACCTGTAGCATCATGGGGGGGGGGTAGTCTCACAGGAGCACCTGAGGTCCCAGCAAGGGGACACGGGGTCACCCACTCTGCCACTTCAAGGTCATACTGCCATCTGAGTCAATTGCTGTGGCAACCTCAAAGCCACTCTTGACGCATCTGTCACTCGTTCACCCCCACCCATGCCCAGGCTATGGTTAAAGCCAGCACTTCCTTCTCCTCAACTTCCTGCCATCCACACTTGACCACCACCTCGCTGCGCAACAACACCGAGGCTGTCGGCTGTCTGCCTTCTTCCATCTATTTTTAAATGTGGCTGTCGAGGCCCACCCTTCCTGTGGGTCCTCCAGGAGCTCAAGTGGCCCACCTTCTCTTGGCTCCAGCCGAGATGGGAGTTGTCCCCACAGGCTCTTCCGCCCCTTCCCACTGCCTGACGCTCCACCTAGCCTTGCTTTCCTGGGCCTCCAGTCCTTGGAGAAACCAAGTCCCTGGTTAGGATTAGACCTGACTTTCCTGAGCTTCCATCTGCTCGTCTATAAGATGGGAACGTCACCTGTGTGTCATATGCTCACCTGAGAATCAACTGAGACAATGTTCATAAGAAGACCTGATAGGCTGGTGTTTTTGCTTTCTTGTTTTTTTCCTGAGACTGTGTTCTGTACAACTAACAAAGATCACTGTTACCCAGTCTTCCTGGTTAACACACCTGGCCCTATAGACGGGATGCTGTCTTTGGGTCAAAACTGCCCAGTCAAGTGCTTGGAATGCTGGGCTAGAGCAAATCAAGTTCAAAGTCCTTTCTACACCAGGGTTGCCAATCTTTTTCTGTAAAGGGCCAGGCAATAAGTAAACAGATGGGCATAGCTGTGTTCCAATAAAGCTTTATTTATAAAAGCAGACAGTGGCCTGGATTTGGCCTATGGGTTTGCCGACCTCTACTCTAAACGCAAGCAAAACCCAGGAGCCCCCATTGCCAAAATACCTGGACCTGGACCTTAGAGAAGGGGGCTATATCACCCACAGGTGCCAGTGACACTGACATTCATCTGGCAAGGGTTGATCCTGTTCACCTCCAGTACAAGACTGGGTATCACCGGGCAGGGGGAGTCTAGGGAGCAAGTATGGGACTAATGCAGGCCCTGGCTCAGGGATCACCCCCTTTCCCACCAGTCTATCTGAGAAAAGTGAATGCACATGTCCAGGTCTCACAAAGCCCACAGTTCCCCAGAAGCACCAGAGACTGTGATCACTCAGTGAGCCCTTGTGAGTGTCCATAACAGGGAGGGCCTGGCTCTTGACCCCAATGTGGAGAAGCAGAGCTGCAGTGGGTGTGCAGGGTGTGGCTGTGACTACCTGCAGGGCTGGAATGGGAGGCACAGTGAACAGAGATGGCTCTGCTGCCGCCACCAGCGCACTTCCTACCAGTTACACAACTGCATGCACACCACACGAGTGTGCGCACATACATGTACACACGTGCACGTGCACATATGCATACACTCATGCATGCACATGCATGCACACACACACACGTGCACACGCGCACACACGTACCCACACAGCTCCAGTAGCTCCCATGCCACCTCATTCTTGGAGCTGAAGTTTTCATTCTCAGAAAGCACATGGCCTCTGTCCCCCAAAACTGGCGGTTCAAACCCACCAGCCACTCCTTGGAAGGAAAGTTGGGCAACCTACTTCCGGAGAGATACTGCCTCGGAAGCCCTAGGAGGGGGTGCTATGAGTTGGATCCGACTCTACGGCAATGAGTTTTTTTAGTTAGACACACAGTTTGACCCAGGATGAGCATGCTGCATTTGAGCCCATGCATGAGGGCATGACCCATCCATCCAGTGTGCACATCAGCTTGCAGACTCCTTCCCGCCCCTCCTCCTAGGGGCGCTGGCTCTTTGGAAAGCATCAGGCATGGAACCCTGTTTGCAGCAACCGGCCACGCAGGCCTGGGAACTGGGACAGTGGGAGCTGTTCATTATTTAGGGTAACAGGGTTGATGGGGCAAGGGGGGCACAACCAAGAATTTGTTTGTCCTGAGGGTTGGTTTGTGAATGTGAGGAGATTTAACTACAGGACCATTATCCTTAGTGATTACAG